GTGATGATAGATTCCTTTTTCATTCTGTTTAATGTTTTGCTGCAGTTTTGTTTTTCTTTTTTGCCCACAATCAGTAACTTAATGATTTCTTTTTTAAAAATAGAGCAGAGGGGGCCAAGTGTTGCCTAGACGGGATTTGGTGAGTTTTAGTAAGGAAATTACACAGAGCTTAGTGCGGTGGGGGGCATGGGAGAAAGTTCTGGTAGATTTGCTAGAAACGGTGTTTTATTCCAGAGAACTGTCCTCCCATCTTACTTCATTTCTGAAGAATTGTATTTACTGGGGCTGGGGTGCATTGACTTCTACTTTGCTTGAACTCAGTTTATCACAATTACCAACCTACTTAAAGGAGTTTGTGCATATTACAGATTTTATCTTCTAATTTGGGGGATTCCGTAGTGGCTTTTTCATTGTGATGGCGACAACACAGAACATCTGAAGGTCTTGGGGAAAGGCGAGATTGCTTGGTTCTGCTCTTACAGCTCCGTGTAATTTGTAGGTGCCTTTAGCTTTCCAGTAGACCGAAAGGAGGGCAGACTTCATCCTTCGCACAGAAGCAGGCGAGCCTGCCTGGCTAAAGATCACCGGCCACGGGCCTTTTCTGAGAAGTTCCCTCCCTCTTCTCAGAGCCTCCCTCTTCCAGGGCTGTGCTAGATAAGATAAAAGGCACCGCCTGAGCCTGCTGTAATCTTTGGATTCACGCTCTGCTCTCACAAGCTGCGCTGGTGCTCCGTGAAAGCCTTGCTCGGCGCCTGCAGCCTCGGAACATCTTCCGGCTCCTTCCGGGCTCTTGCTTTCTTCTCGGTCCTGCCGTCTGTCCGGTAGTGCAGTGCATGGGGTCTCGCTTTGAATCCCGTTGCTGGCATTGTGCCTTGCAGCAGGTTGCTTGGCCTCACCCAGGCCCTGGAGCTGGCGTGCCGAGGTAAGACGGGCTGTCTCCGCAGTTCCCTCCTGCCAGGGCAGGCCAGAAGACGAACTCTCAAAGCACGCCCGTGTCCACTTGGAAATAGAGGAACGAATCCAAGAAAGGGGCACTGATTTTAAAGAGCCGTGATTCTGGCCCTATTTGTTTGTACAGATTTAGCAAGTCAGCTTCTCCGAGACTTTCTTACAAATGGGAACTCGGCTTAGCTTAACTTGGTGTCCACTGGGTTGCGTTTTCAGGGGAAAGAAGGGACAGTCTGCGGGCAGAGTGCCTCGGCCTGCTCAGGAAGATGGACATTTCTAGTCCGGGGGCAAATGTGCAAACCCCCAAGGTTGCACCTGGTTGCACCTGGTTTCTTGTCTTCTTGGGTTGCAGACGACCTCGGCTGCGAGGCAGGGAGAGGCTGGGGGAGACCCTGGATGCAGCAGGGCTTTGCAGCATTGAAACCCCTCTGCCACACAGGGGTCCTTGGAGTTCCCCCTCTCCTGTGAACACAGTTACCACTTGTTCTAACCCTAAAGTCAAGCCTTTGATTCTTCAGGGGACTGTACCTTCAAAAAAGATTCATCATCTGAAAATAATAGTCATTCTCACCATCTTCCCCTCTACCAGTATTCTAAATTTTGTTCGTTTCCTCCATACTTTAATTTTAAGTCTAGTTTAAAAAAATAGTAAAATCAAGGTATGGTTTTATTCTGAAAGAGTGACTCCTAGGCCACAGCAGGTTCCTTTTTGAAAATGACCCCTTGCCTTTCAGATAGTTTTATATTGAGTTATGAAGGCTTGGAAGACAGGCTTCTGTAAGGGGCTGAAAGTTAGCCTTCAAGACACAGTGATGGCAGTTAAAACAAAAAAAAAAAGGAAATGAGGCCCAATATTCTAATTATTAGGTCAAGAAAGGAAACTTGAAAAATTGATTCTACCAGTTGAACTTTTTCATTTCAAGATTCTGAAGTTCAAACTACTTTGTTTACTTTGAACACACAGGAAAGAACTTGTTACCTTCCTTGAAACAATATTCTATAATCTAAAAATTTAAGATCTTTGGGAATCTTAAAAGCGAATAAGCAGTTTAAAATGACCACAGTGGTATCTTTCATTGTAAATCAGACTCCGAAAAATCACCAGGAGGGGGGAAAAAAAAGATTTCCTGGGCCCCACCTCAGGGCTGTCAAATTCAGTTGGTCTTGGGTGTACTCAGCATATTTGCATTTCCAAATGTTCCCAGATGAATGGCACTGTCTTCAGACTCCAGATTTTCTCCTGTTGCACATCTGAGTCAGTGACTGTTGCCTTTCTGACCCGTCAGATAGCAGAGCTGCCTATGGCCAAGTGCTGGGTCCATGCTGACACAGCCATGAGGCTTGCTGGAGCTGTGAGAGCCAGCGAGGAGGAGGAGGAGGAGGAGGAGGAGGGTGATGGTGATGAGTCGTGGTAATCCTTCCTTTCAGGAGGGAGAGAGGGTTAGAAAGGCTAACTTCCCAGAGGTCACACGTTGGTCTCTGGAGGAACCAGTGTGTGCTGTTCCCTTTCCTGGTTACGCCCCTGTCAGGCGTGAAGATGGGGGTGAGCGGGGCTGGGGCTGTGCCCCTGCCTCGGAGAATCAGGCAGGTCAGAGGACAGGGAAAAGATGGACGAGGTGCAGGCCCAGAGCACAAGCCAGCCTCTGAAGGCCAAGATCAGCCTCCTGGAGGCAGAGAGAGAGTCCAGGGGCCCAAGTGCCTTGCAGGCAGCCCCACTCGGTGAGAGCCGAAGCATCATCGCATGCGGTCCCCGAGTGGGCTCTAGCCACAAAACCCCAAAAGCAGTCTTTGAAAGAGGGGTCTGGGGGAAGCATGTTGCTCTGCTCATTCCCCGCTGCCTCTCAGCAGGTCAGCTGCATGCACTCAGCTGTCACCTGGGAACCTGTTAGAAATGCAAATTCCATACCTAGGAATCAGAGCTCGAGGGCGAGGGCGGGCCCACACCCTGTTGTGCCCGCACTTCCAGGACCGGTGCGGGGTGTGCTTCCACCTGAGAACCCCTGCAGGGGTTGGGGGGGGGGCTCTTGAGCAGCCACCGTGGCTCTAAGGGCAGTGATTGGGTCTGTGACCAGTGGGATTCTGTTCAAGTACACGCTTAACACAAGAGATGAATGCCTTTTGGGGGACACGTAGCTTCCATATGACTCCTCTGTATGTTGCGGACTGGTTCTCCTGTTGATATAAAGAGATAGGAGCCAGTACTCGAGTTTATTTGGTCCGCATTCAAAGAAAAGTGTGCTAGCGATTATTCCTGAGTGAAGGCTTGGGCTGGAAACTTGCTAATTTTAATCGCCAAAAGGGAAGCAATAAACTCTTCTAAGAGTTTGAGGATTTGGGCATTGTTGATTTTCATATTTTGTTTGTTTGCTTTTTGTTATTAAAACTGGTGTTAAAGTTAGTATTTGAGGCATTCTTTTCAAAGGAGATGTGTTGAAAGGACCAAACATCATGAAATAACTAAAACTAACTTGGTTTTTCCTTGGCAATAGAATGCCCAGTTGAGGATTCTCAGGAAAATTCTAATCTGGAAGCAGGCTTATCAGTATCTTTCTGCGAAATTGTAGCCAATATTTGGTGACTGTACAGCTGCACAGTAACTGCCACTGAATTCTACACAGAACAAAGACTTAGGGTAATGCTGTGGTTGCAGTCACATGTAGTCATCCTTTGCACAACTCTTGACATTAAAAGCCTGATGTGTGTAACGATTTTTCATTGACCATCTATCCTTTCCATCCCAGCTACCAGGGCAACGGAAGCCCTTCTTCCTCTTAGAAATAGCGCAGGAAGTGAAGTAGTGAAGGCAGGGTGCAGAATCAGTGTGGTGACATGTCCAGAGAGGCTTGCTAGTGTCGCCCAGGGGCTGAGGGAGTTTCAGGACTCAGAAGTGCCGAGACCATCGAGTTGTTAGACCCGTACCTTCATTTTACAGATGAGTCTTCAGCGATCTCCTCGGAGTGTGCCGTAAATAAGCACCCTGCGTCTGAATTGGCGTTCCTGAGCCTTGTCCACCAGGACATTTGGGCCCAAACCCTCTGAAGAGATTCTGACTGGGCATCTCGATTTTCCTAGATGAATTGGGCTCCATGAAGAGTCAAGTTCCTATAGAAACTGTTTCAAGGCTTTATATTGATAACAGAGTATCAGATTAGCCTTTTCTGAAAACCTAGTCACTGTTCTTCAGAGTACAAGGAAAGGATATAGTTCCTCACTTCTCTTACCGTTCAATACGTATGTAACTACCAAAGAGGAAGCCTGGTCGGCTCTCTGCTTCCTTGGCGTACGAATGTTGCTGCGGCCCTGAGCCAGGGATGGATGTGCCTGTGGAGTTAGGCTGTTTCCAGGGATTTCCAGGGAAAACTGATGGGAACCGCATCCCGGCCTTAGGTGATTTTGCAAGTAGTAACTTACAGTCAGAGCCTGATGTTGAGTTCCTCGGTCACCAGCCGTGCTCACGCCGTTGGCACCCCCTGCCCTCTGAATCCTCCTTAAAAGGCAGTTCGAAAAGTCATGACATCTTGAAATTTAAAAACTAATGGGCTTTTAACATGAAAAGCATTTAGAATGTATCGTAGGTAAATGAAAACACTAAGAGCTCATTCAAAATAGATCTTCCTTAAGTGGGCTGATTTGGGAAGTCAGGGAGCTAGGACAGCCGGTAGGGGAGACAGAGGAGCCGAGAGCTCGCAAGCGGCTGATCCCTGCACACCCTCGGGAGTGAGTGGTTCCCTGAGCACACCAGGTGTGGCCACAAGACCAAAAATCAATCAGATAAGTTCACTGAATCAAGACCTGAATTAGAGAAGTAGGATTAGGAGTTACTTTTAAAAGTAGTTAATATGTCTGTCACATTGAAACTATCAAAGGTTTTTAGAAATCATCTACTTAATGAGATCCTCATTTAAAAATGAGAGCTCTAATCCAGCAGATGTGAAGAGAGACTTTTGAATTGCTATTTTTGGTCTTAAGTAAAACACAAATGTGTTATTTTAAGAGTTGGAAGAGAAGTAACTTTTTAGAATAACTTAATAAAATATTCTAATTTTTTCCAGTGCATCTGGGGGAGGTGGTGTAGCCATTGACAACAAAATAGAACAAGCAATGGTAAGTGTTTCTAGTTTTCTCATTTCTATGTTTGTTGGAATTTGGTTTTTATAAATTTGAAAAATAATAGATAGTGGTTTAGTTTAAGATGATACTTAGAACACTGAAGTGAATATTTCCCCAAATTTCAGAAAATCCCCTCATATTTTATGAAATAGCGTTATATAGAATCATTTGAAGGGAGAGAACATCGTCAGTAGGACGCATTATTCCCCTCAGCGATTTCAACATTGAAAATAGTTCAGAGATCAAAACTTCAGGGCCCAGGATATAGCTCAGTAAATACAGCATTTGCCTTTCATGTGTGAGGCGCTGACCGTAGCCCCAGTACCACAGAAAATAAAAGTGAAATAAAGACTTGGACTGGAATTTTTTGTTACCCTCTTTGACCCAGCTTTGATAGACTTCTGATGTTTATGGTTCTGATTCTAATTTTTCTGTTATCCATGATTTGTTCCCATAAAGCCCTCCTGGGCTGGGAATACAGCCAGTGGCAGAGCACAGGTCGTGTGTGAAGCCCCATTGCGACCTCTGGCTCCAAAACCGAAAACATTTATGAAGCTGCTCTACCGAGAGTATTTCGCCCGCCCGCACGGCAAGCCTGGCAAGCTGCCCGTGACGTATTCAGTATGCCAAACACACAAGTCTCACGATGGAGACGTTACTGGGCCCGCTCAAGCAAATCAGTGATCAACGGGAGGACAGTGCTGCAGTGCCGTGCTACTCTTCATATCATGTGAAAGTTTACTAAGACTTACACAAGACTATTTTTAAAAAATCAGTCTCGGACCTTTAAAAAAAGTTTTCAAAAATTGTAAGTTATTACTATGTAAGCAGTCCCGTGATTAGGTTAGCGTCAGTTTAATACCTTTTGTGATCTTGCATCAAGCTCCTGCACAGGGAGCTGGAGCAATAGCACAGCGGGGAGGGCCTTTGCCTTAAACGCGGCTGACCCGGGTTCGATTCCCAGCATCCCACATGGTCCCCTGTGCATCGCCGGGTGTGACACAAAAAGCCAAAAAAAGAAGAACAACACCTACACAGTTGGTTGTTTAACTTACGTTTTGGCAATTTAAGCAGCCTGTTAACTTTCAGAAATCACTTTAAACTTTGCAAAGAAAATCTTGGACTTGCTCCCGTGGTCTGGAGCTGTATTTTCCCTACTTTGTTTTTATGGCCCATTTAGATACAGTAGAAGCGTTAAAAGCAAAAGCAGAACCACCAGTGTAAAAAGGCTTTTTTATGGGGCTGGAGAGAGAGTCCAGCCAGTGGGGCGCTTGCCTTGCAGGAGGCCAACCCATGTTCAGTCCTTGGCATCCCACGTGGTCCCCTGAGCCCCACCAGCAGTGATGCCTGAGCATCGCCGTGTGTGGCTTGGAAACAGCCCATCCCCACCCCCCAAAAAATACGTTGTGTGTTTATAAGGTGCCAGGTGGAGTAGCACAAAACCGCAGCCCCTTTTCCTTTTGCTGGCTTGACTCAAGTTCCTCCTCTCGTTTCCCACAGGATCTGGTGAAAAGCCATTTGATGTATGCAGTAAGAGAAGAAGTGGAGGTTCTAAAGGAACAAATAAAAGAATTAGTGGAAAGAAACTCTTTACTTGAACGAGAAAACGCACTGTTGAAATCTCTGTCCAGCAACGATCAGCTCTCCCAGCTCCCCGCGCCCCAGGCCAACCCCGGCAGCACCTCCCAGCGGCCCGCAGTGCCGGCCCAGCCCCCGCCCGCGCAGCCCCCGCAGCAGCCGAATGTCTCCTCAGCCTGACGCCCGCCTGCCTCGCAGGGAGCGGACTGAACGCCCCTCTCCTCGCGTGCCACCGTGTTCTCTCCTCGTCCACGAAAGCAAGTAGCCATGCTTCGGTCGTGTGTTTGGCCTTTTCAGTATTAGACAATCATTCTCCCAGAGCTCCGCAGCTGCCCCGGGCCCCAGAGGGTCCCGTTCTGGGACCGCCGCGACGCAGGAGGCCGATGGAGCGGGTGGATTCCAGCGAGCAGGGGCTGCGTCCCCGGGCGGGCGCGGGCGTGGGGCCTCTCCGGAGCTGGCGGCTCCCCGAGCGTCCTGGGCCCGTGGGTTCCCTGAGCCCGCCGCTCCCGTTATCAGTAACAGTTCACCTACAGAGCCACTTTCTTTCAATACCAGTAACATTTGCCTACATACGTTTTCATTTATTTGTGTTTTATTTATTACAGGGCTGCTATTTTCATAATGTACATGAACAATGTCACAGAACTTTTTTAATTGTTTTGAATAATTATATCAGTCAAGGAATTGAAAGGCAGGATTGTATTTACTAGATTCAACGTTTAGGCAATAATTGAACAAAAGAAATCCTGGCCTATTTCTAACACTAACGGCAATTTCCCTTCGGTATTTATTTTCAGTAGTCAGGACCCAGCTTGAATGTAAATTTTGTATAGTGTAAGTATGAAGAACTTAGTGCAACTGTACAGGTAGTCCCCAGTTATTGTGATATAATAAATAATTGGGCTATTTTGATGAAGAAAACTTTGTTCATTTGTTTCTACTTTCTGATAGAGAAATTGCCACGATTCCTCTGCTTTTTGACATTTCGTATGACTTTTTTTTTTCGGGTGGAAATAAAAAGCTGTGAAATTGTTCAACCTACTTTGTAACCAAAGAAGCAAAGCTGTGTAATGGAGGTTTTTTTTTTCTGTTTGTTTGGGGTTTTTTTTTCTTTTTTTCTTTTTTTATATATATATATAATGCACATTCTTTATGTATTTTTATTTAGTGTTTTCTTGGTCACAATTTTCTTTGCTGTCTAGCATGATCTGCATGACCTATACTCTTTGAACCACTTTCGTACCTCATGTTTTTATCCAGCACTCTTATTGTAATATGTACTAGTCTGTGAACAATGTCAAATAAAGAAGAACGAACAGGTAGTACGGTGGGGCTGAGCTAGTGTGTACTCTGCACTAGCTGTTTAAAAAAAAAAATGAAGTGAGCCATCTTTTGTTCATTTAAAATGGTGTTTTGAATTTCGTATGCAGAAAACGTTTTGTTACATTGCAGATTTTAATGTATTTAATAAATGCAACATGCAGATTAAGTGCAGTGTATACTGAGTATTTAAATTAAAATGTACATTTCAGAAATACAGTTTCAGAAGAAAGCATCATTTTGTGTATACTAACACATTAAGTGTATGTCAGAAATTGATGTATAAATATATATTTTAACACATTTTCTGAAATTAAACTGCAGTTTTGTTGAAATGTTTGGCTCTACATGTGTTCAAAATTTGATTTGATTAGATTTGTATTTCCACAATTCAAAACATTCCTAAGATGAAAACCTATGTTATTAATGACTTCTAGTTATTAAAATTTTCAAAGTAAAATTTAAAGAATGCAGAAATGCTCAGCAATATTTGTACTCAATATTCGTAGTGTGTCAGTGATATTTTCGTAGGAAATCCTTGTCTACCCAAAGTTTTACTTGAATTCCAAGTGGTGCCTGGAGAATGCCGGCTCTTGCTCCAGCAAATCAGGAGGCTTTGGAGCCCGTCAGCTCTCCAGTAAAAGGATAAATGAGTGTTCTTTAAAATCAAGTTTAATCAGATCAGTCACAACTAAAGGCAAATTCAGGGTGTATGTGGGATTACCAGATAGTTTTTGTTTTGTTACAGGATCTGGTGGCTAGAAGCAAAATGTTGATGGTTGCTAGCATGAGAACGATGAAGGAGCTGTGTGTAGCCGTGAGGACGCAAACCGAACGGCTTGAATTAACTATAGCCACACAGATGAGATAGATGGAAGGAGAAATTTGTTTCTGTGCTGACCAAAAGGGTCCCCAGTCAGGCCCCTCCAGCACTGCTGAGTGCGGATGTAACCCTGGTGGAGAAAAACGAAGATTGGAGAAAGGTTGGGGCTTTCGGTGAATTTTGATTCTGGAGATAGGAAAAACATTTTACAATGATGACTAGACCAGTCTATAGTGGAAATTAAAAGCAATTAATTGCTACTACTTTTTTTGTTTTAATTCCCACAATGGAGAAAACGGTTCTATAGAAAAATCAGTGGCAGTTCCTAAAGGTTGAAACTTAGAGTTCTAGTAAGTAACCTATGAATTGCAAATTAATGTGACAATTTGCTGTTTAGTCTAAATAGCAAGACCTAATGTAGAAAGGCAAGCTTTCTTCCTCTGTACTTCTAGAAAATAATTTGAGTATCTCAAGAGCCTTAAATATAAGCTTTCAGTTTAATGGTGAGAAGAAACTCAACTTACGGTGCAATGTTCAAAAAATGCAAAATTTTAATTGTGCCTGTCCTCTGTGCTCCTGTCCCCCCTCTCCTGTGTCCTTTGCCCCCATCCCCCACCCCACCCCACGGCCACACCATGCTGTGAATGGCAGTCCTCTCCGTGCCGGACTCGGAAGGCAGGACAAGCTGCGGTGCTTTTTGAGCGTTGGTAGTTGTATTTGGAAACAAGTAAGCATACGCCAATGATGATTTGTTTAGAGTCTAATAAATGTCAATTTTTGCCTTGGAGATTTCCGGTCTCTTCTCTAGCTCCTTCTAGCCATAGTGCTTGTTTATCGAGATGCCAGTTTGCTGGGGGCCAGTGCCCACTGGCCATGGTGACATCAGGGTTTTCTGTTGGGTGACTTGAACCAACCAGAATACCAGAGATGGAAAATGTTTCTGACTCTCAGCTGTCTGCATTTCCACCCGATGTTTCCCCCAGAAAAAATTGATTTCAGGTGCAAATCTCAACATGGGAAGGTCCTAAGTGTGCAATTTAATTCACTCTTAGGGGTCCAGGATGGGCTGGAGCGATAGCACAGCAGGTAGGGTGTTGCCTTGCACGCGGCCGACCCGGGTTCGATTCCTCCACCCCTCTCAGCGAGCCCGGCAAGCTACCGAGAGTATCCCACCCGCACAGCAGAGCCTGGCAAGCTCCCTGTGGCGTATTCGATATGCCAAAAACAGTAACCACAAGTCTCACAATGGAGACGTTACTGGTGCCTGCTTGAGCAAATCGAAGAATAGCGGGAGGACAGTGTTACAGTGCACAGTGCAGGTCCAGGATAGCCGGTGTTCCATTTCTACTTCTAAGCTGAGCCGATGAAGGCAGCGGTGCTCCAGCAGCAGGTCCCTGGCCATGAGTTCACAAAGAACTCAGACATTTCCAAAATACGGGGTAGGTGGCAGAGGGGGGTGGCGCGGCTCCTTAAAGACATTGAAATTCCTGTATTTCGTGGAAATGCATCTTTGTCAGACTAGAAAATAATCAGCCTTTTTTCTGGAGTCAAACACCCACGGCAGTCGGCAGTCACCACTGTGTTTCTCAGAGCAGCTTCATTGCTCCGCAGCGAGGCGCGGTGACTTCTCAGTTCTGACCCTCAGCACCCAGGTCCTGAGTCAGGACCTGCACTGTAGCACTTAGAAGCCCTGGGGTAGCCAGGCCAGCAGACCCGGCCGTCATGAGCACTCTGTTAGGTGCCATCAGGCAGCTGCAGTCCAAGAGGGCACTGACTCCCGGAAGCCCCACGGGACCGGGTTACCTCCCCCCCGGCCCCGCCAGGGTAACTGCACACAAACGGTGCCACGGAGTGCCGTCAGATGGATGTGTACATATTTCAGAAAACATCATCCCAGTGCAGTTTGAGGTGGCATTTAGGAAGAACAAACCAGAGAGGGTTCGCTGGCAGAGTTGAGGCAAACTGGTGACGGTCCTGAGGACGGGATGGTCGTGGGTCTTGGCGATCAGCTTTTCCCCACCACGTTGCATTGAGTGGCCCCTGGCCACATCAGGTGCTCATACTGTCAAGGAACCCCAGCGTTGGGGAGCTTCCTACCGGCCCTAGATCCATGCAAGCTTTTGTTCCTTATTGAAGTGATTTCGAGAATTTGAGAAAGCGTGGGGACGGGAGCCAGAGGTGTGGGAAAGATTCCCGAGGGTGATACTTGATGAAGTCTGGGTCAGTTCAGCTGTAAACATTCGGGCTTTGGGTGACAGCTGGGATTAGGGTGGCCGGAAGCTGCGTTGTCCCATGCCTGGCTTGTCAGGCTCTCCCTTGTCTCCCTAGAAAGGGGAGGGGGCAGTTTCTGGTATCTGTCAGAATTGGTGTCGGGTTTTATTCAGCCTTTCGTCCTTGACACAGGCTGGTTCAGAGCTCACGCAGGTGTATTCTGCCCGGAAATACCCTTCCTGAACCAAATGGACTTTTTCTCCCATCTCCCCGGGCACAAACCTAGAACTCTGCGTTCCTGTCCCAGTAGACAGGACTATTTTCCGGTCTTCTGTCCCTGCCCAGTGCTGCTGAGTTTCTTCCTAGCAGTGTCGATTTTCAGGTGACCCTCCCGGTAGTCTGTTTGCCTGGCCTTCCCTCTGTCGAGTCTGTCTAGAGCAGCTCTGAGCCAAGTCACAGTTTCTGCAGGAAGACCTGCTCTTTCCATGCAGTCTGGATCGGGGAAGGATCCGGAGCTGGACTGCGGCTGCTGTCGTGGTTTGCGCAGCAGGGACAACTGCAGTGCCACACAGTGAGAAATGGCAGTGACTACTAACCGCAGGTGAGAGGTCATAACTCTCTTCTGTTGTAATGCCGTTCTAGAAGCTGGTCTTGGGCACAGTTGGGGTCCACTTGGCAGGTTCCACCCACATGCCTGGACAGTGTCTTTAGCTTGGTTTCTCCTAGTAAATGAGGTGGGTGGGATGGCGGCAGCCCACTTTGGCTGAGTAATAAACAGACCGCCTGGTTTAGGATCTGGGAGAGGCCAGGACCATCCCCTTTGAATGCAGGAGGGAGAAGTCAGCTCACCTGCATCCTAAAAATACCCGAACGATGATGCCACCTTGCCACTTGCCCAGAGAGAAAGGTGCCTTAACCTTTTTCTTCACCCATGGCTCACCTCAACTGTTGCTCCCTTCGGTGAGAAAATGTGGTCCAGGTCAAGTGCCACAGATAAGCTTCTAAAGAGCCCCCCCCCCTCAGAAAGTGTGGGGCCAGTAAGGAAGACTTCCCCCCAGCCAAGGGCCTGAGGTTTGGCCAGGTCAGCATCTAATTCATCGCTCTGACTTAGCCTGTAATTTAACCAACTGATGGGAGAAAGGGGAAAATATCACAGCAGGTAGGGCGTTTGCCTTGCATACCGACCCAGGTTCGATTCTTAAATCCCTCTCAGAGAGCCTGGCAAGCTCCCCATGGCATATTCGATATGCCAAAAACAGTTAAAACAAGTCTCACAATGGAGACGTTACTGGTGCCCGCTCGAGAAAATCCATGTACAACGGGAGGACATTGCTACAGACTGGCCAGCCATACACTGACTATACTTCCCTTTCCCCGTCCCTGCTGGATGTGTGACTAGATATATATATAGTCTGCTGGACCTCACATCCCTTATTTAAATAAAGGCAAAAGTGTCATATTGTTTGTTCCAAGCATTAGTCTGGCTTTGGGGACCTGCTGTCATTTTCTGAATGAGCGGTTTCTATAAATTGCCAGTAGCAGAGCTTAATCACGTGACGCCCTCAGACACTGCCAGAAAGCAATTGGAGCTCACCAAAAGCTTTAAGAGCAACTTCTAGAAAAGGGGCGGGGGGGAGGGGAGATTGGTAAGAAGTCTCCCTTCTCTGCATAAGTCTTGTGAAGTGTCTCCTGAAACAACGACAGAAAAAGGAATTTACACATTTTTTGATGCTCTGTAGATAGTATGTGACTTTTCGATCAAGTGTAAGTAGTTGGGATACGCATGTCCTCGGTCCTCTCAGGAGCAACCCACTCCTCATCTTGGCTGACAAAAACCAGCCACGATTCAATGAAGCAAGGTAAGAAAAACTCAGGTGCCAGGTTCTAGAAGTCTCCAAGAACTGAGAATTCAGAAGCAAACAAATCTGAAGTTACACAAATGACAATTTCAAGAGGGAAAGGGTGGATTGTTCAAAAATTGGTATTTCAGGGGCTGGAGTGATAGCACAGCGGATAGGGCGTTTGCCTTGCACGCGGCCCACCCAGGTTCGATTCCCAGGATCCCATATGGTCCCCCAAGCACGGCCAGGAGTAATTCCTGAGTGCATGAACCAGGAGTAACCCCTGTGCATCGCTGGGTGTGACCCCCAAATTGGTATTACAGCAACACAGAAGCATTTGGAAGGAAACAGTTGAGCTCTCCCTCTCTCTCACTCACACACACACACACACACATTCACTCTGGATAGAACAACAGGATGATCACGTAGACTTTAATGTGTCTTAGAAAAGGAAAGCTTCCCCATTCCCCACTTTTTCCCCGAGAAAATGCCCCTAAGCAGAACCTTTTACAAACGGATTAGGAAGAGATTTCAACCTCAGCCACATGACAGTAACACCTTTGAGAACATTAAGAAGCACCTCAGATCCTGTCAGCAAACAATCAGATGCCTCTAAATGGAGGGCAGGAAGGGTGTGGGAGAACTGGAAGCACCCCACCCCACTCCCCCGAAGCGGATCGGTTGGCACTCATGTCCACAGTGACCCAGCAATGCCAGTTTTCGATGAAAGACATTTGCGCCTGGTTCCCTAGGTGGCTTATCCAGCAACACCAAACACCTTTGTCTGGGGAGAGAGGCTGAGCATGACACCCCAAAACACTAACTAGGGATCTGAGAAGTAGGGTGAGTGACCTCCTCCATGCTGACCTTGGAAAGCAGATGTGCCTTTTCTTGTTGAGCTGGGGACGAAACCGTTAGTGTCGCACCCGGGGACTCGTCAGCCACACACCGACTCTAGCTTTCCCTTTGCCCGTCCCTGCTGGATGTATGACAAACGCAGTGAGACGGCCTCTGGGTTTGGGAAGGGGCGTGCCTTGGCTTTCACTGTACCACTGGATGTTCCTGGGGCTGCATCCCTGTATCCTTTGTGTCATGGCTAACGAATAAACTGGAAATGAAAGGAAGCGAGGAGGTGTTTTCTTCTTGCCTGCGTGGGTCTCCCCTGTGTCTCTGGCACCGGCTCTCCATCTGTCCCGTTTCTTTGGCTTGTGCTTGATGCCCCGCCAGGCCTGGAATCATCCGGTGCTGGTCTTCGCATAGCTCCCTCAGCGCCTTCCTGACTCTGCTGGCAATGGCAAATTCTCATCTTTATTTTTTTTCTTTGAACCATGGAATCGTGCAGCACTGTTTCCACAGGCCACAGATGTATACCCAGTGATTCGTCAGGGCCCTTCATTCCCTTCCCTATCTGTGCCGCTGCAGGAACACCGGGATGGGTGTGACCTTTTGTGCTTGTGCCTTTGTAGCTGACTAGAGGGATCTCTAGATGCTTTTGGCAGCTTAAGATCATTTTCTTGGGGCTGGAGCGATAGGACAGCGGGTAGGGCATTTGCCTTGCACGTGGCAGACCCGGGTTCAATTCCCAGCGTCCCATATGGTCCCCTGAGCTCCGTCAGGAGGAATTTCTGAGTGCAGAGCCAGGAGTAACCCCTGTGCATCGCCGGGTGTGACCCAAAAAGCAAAAAAAAAAGGCGGGGGGAGGAAATATCATTTTCTTTAAAATAATAATAACTAT